CGCGCCCAGCAGCCGCGACGCCGACAGCGCCTCGTGGCCCGAGGGCGGCGGCTGGCAGCCCTTCCCGGGCGGCCCCTGCGGCGAGCCGCGCCCGTTGTAGAAGTCCTTCCCGGCCAGCGCGCCCGGCATCTTGCCTCCGGCCGCGGGCGACAGCTGCGACTCGCCCTGCGCGGGCGCCGCCGCCGGCTCGAACTTGGAGTTGAGCAGGTTGTCCACGAGGAACGGAGACGTCATGAGGGCGGGCGACGCGCCGAACACGGACGGCCCGTTGAGGGGCGCGGCACCGGCGGCCGGGAAGCTCTTGAGCATGCTTTGGTGGTAGGACAGGGACGACGCCGCCGAGCTCAGCAGGTTCGAGTACATGGTAGGCGCGCCGGCATCCTCGAGTCACAAGCCCAGCGCCGAGGCGTCGCCGCGGAAGCCCAGGGGGCCGCTGGCGCCGTACATGGCCGGGGCGTGGGCGGCGCTCCTCGACACTCGCTGCTCGCGACGCGCTGCAAAAATTACGACGGCCGCGCTGTCGCTGGCATGCCCTAACTTCCGACGGGTCTCCACCACCCCGAATCTCACAGGCGACGCGAATCTACTGGTTGACGCACACGCGTTTGGCGCGAGCTCTGACTCCGACACGATACGCCTTCGATCGCAATTGGAAGCATAAAATGACAGACCAAACTGTTAACTCCGAATCAAAGAATCCTCTTAGAGTTGCATGGCAATTAATGGTTCAACAACGTATTCACAAATCAGTTCCGGAAACGTGTACAACATTCCGATCCAAAAGCACATTCGATGAAGCGTCTGGAAACACTAAACGGGTCTCAACAAGCGCACCAAACCACCTCGGAGATCACACGGGCAGTCAGCAGCGGCGCGCGGCCGTGGCACACGTGGCGAGAGGCTGTCCTGAGCGCGGAGCGGCGACCATGTGCGCACGCGGGCGTCACGTGTGCGGGGCGGAGAGGCAGCCGGGCGGCGAGCGCTTGCGATGCGTGTTCTGCGGGCGGGCGGCACCGAAAAGTGACTAACACGAGCCACGCTCGCC